CATATGTAATAAGTATCAAAAGCAAATATATCATCTGTAATCAGCTTCGAAGCAAATATATCATCAATATCAAAAGCAACATACGTTGTAAAACCAATATTTCCAAAGTATAGGCACATGACACCCAAAATAAGTGCAACTCGGAAGATAAATACATTACAACAAAATGATACTAAACGAATGTGTCGATCATCCAAGTGTCAGGCCCGGGTCGCCTACTAAAAAGTATCTGAAAGAGAAAAGTTTGGGGGAATGAGCTCAAGTTATGAAAATGTCATTAGTGTTTTTAGGTTACAATACAAAATCGCCCTCCAACCGAACACCATATGCAGTTCCACATAACTGCATCCATAAGGACTTACCCTAGGCCCAAAGGGCGTAGGTGCCAACCTAAGGGAGCACATTGGGTCCATAAGGCCTTACCCTAGTCGAAGAGTAGGTGCTCACCTGAGGGGTGTACCCTTAAGCCCAAAAGGACTTACCCAATACACATAGCAAAGGTGTCACCCTAAAGGAGTACCTTAGGGTCTATAAGGTCTTACCACTAGGCTTATTGGGCCTAGGAGCCCACACAAGGGTCACCTTAGGTCCATAAGAATTACCAGTTGATCGGTGCTGAACCTATATAAGGAATTACCAGTTTGATCAGTGTTAGACCTGCAGAGACTTCATACCAAATCCTAGAGTACCCCGAAGAAATAGTTTTCAGACAGTAATTAGCAGTAGCAGAAAAATCATAGTTCAAACATAAATTAATTTAATAAAAAAAGTAAACAGAGAACATAATTAGATAAACATGCTTAAAACTTTAAGTAAATCAAATATAAAACTTGAAACAAATAAATCATACGAAATCAAGTCAAAACAGATAGTCATACTGCTAATCAGACAAAACAGTCATGTGCATATGATATTTCATACATATATTTAAAATAGGTATATGGCACACAATGAACACACCTCACAAAAAAGATTCAGTCAGGAGGATATACTTCACTACGCTCTTCGACTATATGAGAACATAATTCATACCAGAACAAGGTTATAAAAGGATTAATATTCTAAACTGAGTATTTAACAGGGTTGTAGAACTATACGAGTAATCATGGGCTCTAGCGAACGGATGGGTCTGGAGGAACCGAGTCGAGTAGACAAACGGTCAGGAGATCCACGAGTACCTTAATTAACGACATAATAATTTAGTCCTTGACCCTCAAATTAAATTAGATATACTTAATTAAAACACTTAAATAAATACTTAAAATTACATGTATATTCGAGTTTAGGGGTCAATTTTAAAGGCTTTCGGGTTTGAATTTGGCAAAACAAACTTCGGCTTCGAACTCAGGACATCAAAAAACATAAAATATGACTTTTTCGGAAAATTAACTTTTTTGTCAATGTCAACAGTCAAAGTCAACGGGCAGGTCAACGATCAACGGTCAGGTCAAAGTCAAGTGGTCAGACCGGTTTGGGTTTAATCAGATCGATTCGGTTTGATTCAGTTCAGTATGAGTTAACTCATACTAATTCGAGTTGACTCGAACCGATTCTAGAAAGCTCACTGGACCACGAACAAGCCCCACACATGTTGTCGGCACGTGGCAGTGAGTGAAGACGTCGACAAGGCAGTTTGGGATGACCGATTACTCCAGGAGCATCACCACATTCAAACATAAGCATAACAAGTTAATTTAACAACCACAACACGGCGAAACGATAGAATAAAGGCGACGAGAAACTTACCCATGGCAATCGATGACGGGACGATTTCGGATGACAAACCCGGTTGGGTTTTGGTTAGAGATGGTCGGGGAATACAATGCTGGCAGCGATGAGGCAAGCCGACATCGGGTTTGACTTGAATCGAGGAAGATTGGAGTGATGATATTTTGGGTTTCGATGAACCCACGATCGATCTTCCACGACGAACGACTGAGAACCATGACGAGTGGCCAGCTGGGTTATGATCGTAACGACCAAGAGTACCTGATGAGAGTGGTAGTGACGCTTCCCGACGCATGATGGAGGAGAACCATGATTGGGGCCGAATAATTTCTTCTCCTTTGCGATGATCGATTGTCGATTCGGGTAAACTAGGGGTCGAAGTTGGTTTACAGGTTACTGTCGTGCTCGATGGACGTGGCAGTAAACTCCACTAGTGACCAAAGGTGGCTGGATCGGGAATGGACAACAGGGATGGTTTGTGTGGGTGAAGGAGATGGGGCTTTTTTTGGGAGGGTTGGTTCATGCTGGGGAGGGGTTTCTGGTTTGGGTATTTTTAACTCGAACCTAACCCCTTAAAATTAAGTTTTATTATTTTTATTTCCAATAATTACCTAGGCTAGATGGTAGAGGGATGGTTGACCATGCCCTAAGTCACGAATTCAAACCAGCCTAGCCTCCAATTTCCCATCTTTGTAATTTTCTCTATGGTCCAAAAAATGGAAAAATTCAAAATTAAGTCCTTAAACTTCCCAAACATACGAGATTAACCTAGAATTTTTAAAACTATTCAGTTTAGTCCCTTAATTATTTTAAATTCTAATAGAGATTTTACTATATCCTTTGTTAATAGGGAATGTAATAAAGTTGCTCATACACTTGCAACACGGGCTCTAAGATATGATATTTCTCTTTTTTTTACTCGGTTTGTCTCTAGATTATTTCACAGTATGTACAAAATGATATTTCTAATAGTTAATTTATTTGGGTACTCTTTTCTCCTTACCTAGGATTAGAAGGAGTTTTTAATGAGGCCCACATCTTTTTTCAAAAACAAATATTCACAAAAAAAAGAGCAACTAAATCACCCAATACCCCAATCAAATCAAATTACAGTATTAAGACTCGTTTTCCTCGTTGTCCTTCCCACCAGAAGAAAACAAGTGTTCTCCCTTATCTTCCAAATCATCTCCTCCACACTACCTTTCGTCCCACCAGACACCCTACGGTTCCTTTCACTTTACACCCGATAGATATAAGCATTCCAAGCAAGTTTAAGCAAATTGGGAAGAAAATACCTACCCTTAAGTTCTGCCACAACCCACATTTCCTCTTGGCTCTACCTTCCAATAGATCTCGATAAATGACACAGTTGCAAAATACCTCCCCACACTTAGAAAAATCACACTTGAAGAACAAGTGATCCCTCATTTCCAACTCACTCGAGCAAAGGACATATCCACTCGCAACATCCAATCCTCATATTAACAAACAGTCCCAGAAAGGACAACCTGTGCGAGAGTGCAAACCAAGAGACCATAGCAAACATAGGGATGTGTAACGTGAACCAAACGAGACCCACCCAATACACTCTCATGTTTCTTCCGAATCTTCTGTCAAACATCACTGACCCTGAACTGCTCAAAAAACGTAACAGACCGTAATAGGTTCTAAAACTGGCTTGTAACAGTTCTTAAATTCAACAACCTCCTCCAAAACCAGCTGTGAGATGAAGAAGCCCACATTGGTCGCTAAATCCCACACTTGCTGAAACATACTTGTATTATTCCAATCAATAAGGTCGCTCAGCCCCAAGTCCAATTCTTTCTTAGATCTACACACCTTATCCCAGATAACTTAAGAACCCTTAGTAGCCACATCAGCCCCTTTCCAAAAGAATCTCAAACAGAGTTGTGCTTAACCTCTCTATGACTCCCTTAGATAACACAAAATGCATGCATCGAAAAGCTTGCATGTTGTACAAAACGCTTTGTACTAGCTTAATTGACCTGCATAGGAAAACAGCTTGACAGACCGACTATTTACACCTTCAACCAATCCTGAACCCCGAGGTAACAAAGGGAACCCCGAGGTAGCACACAGGCAAGTGACCAATCTTGAACCCCGTAATATCTTGCACCTCATCCACCTCTTCAACACTCGGATAGAAGACTTCAGTCTTAGAGGGAATTAACCTAAGCCCAGAGTACTTGTAAAAGGCTTCAAGAACACACATAATGCCCACAACTGAACCCACAATTTCTTTGGAAAAATTAATAAGTCACCCGCAAAATTAAGATGAGTAACCAGTCTCTCCTACACTTAGGGTGATACTGAAAAACACTCTCGGCAATTGCCACATCCATCATCTTGGATAGGACATTCATGCTAGCACGAAGAGGCAGGGGGGTTAAGGGTCCCCTTGTTGCACCCCCTCAAACCCATAAAGTAGCCTTCAAGGCCTCCGTCTATAGAGACAGAGTAACACGAATGAGCTGTGTAATAGCTTTTTTAATATCAACATTTACGGTAGACATTAATTTCATCTTAATAGCTTTTTCCCCCATTAATTTTCAAATAGAAAAGGAGTATAATACTAATTCTTTGACTTCATATTTGGATTTAGTAATTTGGGTAATGCAACGAAAGCATAATAGATGGGTCCAAAATCCGAATTTACTAAAAGTTTTGGGTCCAAAGTGAGCCTCAAACTCAAAATAAAGAGGAACTATAACTTCTAATATAAACCGCATAAGCTCGCCCGTTTAACCCATTGCTGCCTGCTTTTCGACGGATCTCCGACGGTAATTTTTTTACCAACGAATTCACAAGTTTCCGACTTTATGTATAAATAAATGTCTCTCAATAATAATCTCACCTAACCATCATTAAATTCTGCCGCGACAAATTGAGGACCTTGTAGACCTTGTAGTTAATGTTCTTTAATTAGATGCTGTCACGAGGCCTATGGCAGCCATATATTATATCTAAGCCATTCATTTTATTTTATTATTTTGAATGCACTTATTTGTTTCAAAATTCTTTTATAGTTATTATTTTTTTTAAAATAAACTTTAAATTACATTTACAATGATAATTAATATGTACCAGTAAAAGTAAAAATTCACGTAAATGAATATGATATGCAAGAAATGTGAATCAGTGTATAAAGGAATCGAATTTTTATGGTTTTTAAATATTTAAATTTATTTAATAATTATTTATTAATATTTGATCTAAACTCAATGGCTTTATCCTTAGAATATTTAGATCCGCTTATTATAAATAATAATTACTTAATCCAAAATGTCACATTACACGACAAACATTACTGGACGTAACTGCTGCGGATCTAGAAGAAAATCATGATCATCCCACCTATCCTCGAACGATCATCACCACCATTAATGTCATAATCATTACTATTAATAAGGTAATAATTAAATATGAAAGCACATCACACGCTGGAGATAGACTTCCGGTGCCGGCGACCATCGGGATATTCCGAGGGACAGTAGTTCCTGATGGCGGTGAGTTCGTAAGGTGGTGCGTCGGTGGCCAACCACTGCTCCACCGTGAACTGCATCTGGCTACAGGGTGTATGGACGCCGGTCATGGTGACTTCGACGTAGTTACAGTACCAGCCGTGGTGCGGACCCGAGCCGTCGGAGGTCAAGTTCATTGCACAAGCAGGGGAATCCAAGCAACGTCCTCTGCCAGAGAAAATATCCAAATCACCCCTCTCAAAATAGTTGTAACCCGGACCCATTAAGCCGCCCCATGATTCGAGGTTGGCGATCTCCACCCAATGGCCGTGGGCGTCGTAGAGTCGTAGGCCGATGATGGAATCGGTTCCGCCTTTCCAGATGGATCCGGTCCTTACGTAGACCGAGTAAACGCAATCCTCATCGTCCTGCAAGTAAGAAAAAAAACAACAAAGAGAGAGAGGTTAGAGAAGGGGATATGGAGAAGATTTTGGGAGTTATTGAGAGGCGCACTTACGGAAATAACGACGGAGGAAAATGAGAGGAGTAAGAAAGAGAGTAGCAGCACTGTTGGGATAGCCATTGTGGGGTTTTAACGTTCGGAAGCTCTCACCACATATATTAACATACAGTGTGTCCTATACTTGGTTTTCAGAATCGGACCGGTTATCGAATCGATCATGTTATCGGTTTACTGTTTCAATCGGTCGAATCGATCTGACCAATCAGAAGAACCAGACGACGTCATAATTATTTAAAAAATTAAATAAAAATACCAAAAATATTTAATAAAAAATAATTTTTTTTATCACAAATCATATTCAAAGCAAGTCATAACATATATAAGTTAAAAACCATAAAATCAAGTGAAACAAAATGATTCAAATAAACTACAACATAATAATTAATGTAAAATATATTAAATAATAAATATAATTATATAACTATAATTAAAAAATAAATTTAGGGCTAAAATAATCATAACAAAATAATATTGTTTGGTTTAATATTTTTTAAAAACAATCTCACATGGCTAAGAAACATAGAATAGCATCCCAAAAGTCTAAAGAGAAAATATGAGAACAAAACAATCCCACGTGGCTAAGAAACATAAAAGAGCATACCAACTAACTTCTATAAATAATAGAGATAATTTGACATTCAAAATCATGGAGTCTTTTGGTGAGCATTGAGTGAACTATTATTTCACTTCAATCAAGCTCGAATTTTAGGCTTCAATCGAGCTTCTAATTTTTTTTGAGTTCAAGCCTTTTCGAGTTTAAGTTTCAATATTATATTTCGAGTTCGAGTTTAACTTGATAATTTTTAGCTCGTGAGTTTGAGTCGAGTTGAGCTTACTTTTAAAGTTTTCAAGTTCGAGTCGAGCTCAGCAATACTCGAGTTCGACTTGGCTCGTTTAATAAACGATGTTTTAAAAAAAAAATTGACGATTTTTCCTTTTTTTTTAGGTTTTCAGCCGGCCCGGTTTGAACGGTTCAACGATTCCGACCGATTCACTAATAACGGTTCAACCGGACTAGACATCGATTCTCGATTGAATCAACCGATCCGGTCCGGTTTTCAAAACAATAGTACTATATAAGTATGCAATATTTTGGACAGCACCCTAATGATTTTTAGTTATTTATTTGGATTTTTTAATAAAATATTTAAAAGCCTTAAATCTTTAAATTAAATGTTATTACGTGTAAAATTCATTTGAACCTCAAAATATGATATTTATAATAATAATTAAACCTCAAGAGTCATCTGATAGTGTAGCATATATTTATATTTTATTGAAAATGTTGTGAATGTGTAAGCATTAAAGTATCCAATTGACGTTTGCCGACTAATTTAAAATAAAGAATATTTGGCTTAAATGAAATCACTGTATTTTTTTGCTTGACATTAAGTGACAAGTGTAAGATCCATGGACAAGGGGCAGATAGTAGTCACGTGTGGGGTCAAACGTTTTGTATTCCAGAAAAAACAGGAAGCGATAAGAACGGATGAACTGTAATGTAATTTTAGCTTGGGCAAATTATAGAGTTGGTCAATTTTATTTTATTTTTATAAATATATGGTTATTCATTTCGAAAAAGTTAATATTTGACCATTTTTGTTTTATTTTAATTAAGAAGTGATTAATTATTTAAAGTTTTAACGATTTCATGATGTGGCATGTTTATAAAATAATTTAATTTTTATTTTTATTTTTTAATTTTAGATAAATTACTAATTACGACTCTTTTCATAAATCTAAAATATTTAAGGATATAATATCAATTTACCGCTTTTTTCACATGTTTTCTTCCCCATCTCTATCTTGTCCCTCTATTTCCGTTCATGCCATCTCTCCCCCCATCGCCGTTGATATTGACGATCAAACCACCCTCCATTTCTGGGTCACCAATCACCGTCGATTCGACAAGCCGACTCTCGTCATGGTCTATGGCAATGGCGGGAACCCGCTCTGGCAGTTAATTTACCAAGTGGGTCCTCTGTCACGAAGGTTCATTTTGGTCATCTCCGATTTGTTGTTCTTCGGGAGATCCAATTCGAAATCACCGCTCAGAACCGATTTGTTCCAGGCGAAATGCCTGCTGAATTGGCTGGAGAAGCTCGGCGTCGATCGTTTCTCCGTTTACCCCGTCAGTTACTGCGGGTTCGTGGCGTACCCGATGACGGAGATGTGTCCTGACGTGGTGGAGAGAATGGTTATTATGAGTAGTGGACTGTTGTATTCTGACGAACAGAGGGCGGCGCATCTGACAAATCGGACGGCCTCCGTCAGAAATTCTTGTGCCGAAGAAACCAGATTATTTGAGGTCGCTGGTGAAACTATCAATGTGCAAGGAAAACGATTTAAATTGGGTCCCTGATTTTTTCATTCGAGAGTTCATAACTGTAAGTTCAATGCTTCAGGGAGTTGGTGATTAGTATTAGATTTGATGATAACACCATGAATCGGCGCATCTCTATCTTCTCCGAAACGGAAACGCTATCGTGTGCTCCTTAAGCCATAAATGGAAAGTCCAAGAGAAGTAAAAACCTCTTTTTTATCTTCTTTTTTGCATTTTGTTGGCAACTTTGATATGTTAGTGGATATAATTTTATCAAATCGATCGAATTTCCAGGAAGCAACAACAACAATTGGAACGTGGGGAGCATTCGGCTTGCTCGAGTCCCTCTGCGGTCGATTTGAGGGAGCCACTCGATCTCCATCTCGGTTAGTAAAAACAAGAACCTTTGTTCTTTTTATCTTGAATTTCGCTGCATTGTTGGTGAATTTTGATTCGAACTTATTTAGGATCGAAAATGCTTTACAATACTCAAGAGATACTCCTGAGAAGAAAATTGGAGGAGCTGGCTGATTTGCAGCAAGCCGTCGAGCTCCATGGAAGAAGGCTAATGAACTTGCAGATGCTTGACTTAAAGAATCAAGGTAAATTGCAAACTTGTCCCTTAACTGTTTTAAATTTACAAAAAAATCCATAATTAAATTTTATCTAAAGTTTAAGTATTAAAATAATATTTAAATTATTTTATTGACGTGTCAATTCATCAAATTGTTGAACCTTTACCGTCCCTTTAGAATAAGTGACCACGTGTTAATTAAAATGAAAATGAAATAAAAATGACAACATATTAATTTTTTTAAAAGGAGGGACCATACATTTAGAAAAATGAAACAAATGTATGTAGTTTACCCTTTTTAGTCTATTTAGTACTCCCTTCATCCCATTACTTGTGTCTGATTATACATATTGTTTAATCATATAATTTTAGGAGATATATTTATTTAACTAAGAAAAATGACAAAATTATCATTGAAAGGTGATTTATAGATTTGACAGATTTATTTTGATTGGTATAAAATAATAAGATATGATGGTAAAAAAATATAAATGTTGTTGTTTGTTAATTTTTCTAATAAGATACTTTAAATATGATTATTTTAAAAATTAAAAGAGACATCTAATGGGAAGGAGGAAATATCAAATTATGATTTCCATATCTTTCTTATATAGTACAAATTTATAATTTTTATCGATTCAGTTAAATTCATTAGTAGTTTTATTAATATAAATATATTATGTTAAAATATAAAAAATAAAATCGCTAAATAGAATATAGTATACAGAGCTACAGCAGTAGCGTGCGAATCATGTGGTGTATATAGCATGTTGGCCCTGGATCGAGGACAGATGACGCCTTCTTCTTCGTCACCATCAACATCATCATTCTACCAAAGAATTTGGCTTTCACACTACCTTTCCCAAATACAACTATTTATTGTTATGGAATGGGAGTGGATTAGGTTTATTAAATTTAAAATTTTATTTTATTTTTATATTTTATTAAAATAATGTTATATTGGTATTCATATGATTATATGTAAAATATTACGGAGATCATTAAATTACGATAACAAATTTATTCTGATAATTGAATAAAAAATTTAGTATTAAATAAATCATTAAAATTTTAATCAAATTATTAATCATTAATTATTAATAAATTTTTTAAAATGACAGTAAAATAAATTTATATAATACTATATTTTATTCTCATTACTTTTTTATTAAAGCAACAAAACGAAAGAAATTAATTTAACTCTAAACCATCTTCCTGCAATAGCAGAGTTTCCGTCTGAGAAACTAGTAGATCTGATGGGGTTACGTCGTCCCAAAGTTGCCAGCCTATCAGCAACTCTATTTTGCTCCTTGTTAACATGCCAAACTCTTACGACCCAATCACGACCCCGACGTTCATTAATCGCAGATGTCAATGCATGACCGACAAAGGTGTCAGACATGTTATTAAAAATCCGAGTAACCTCACTATTATCTATTTCAAGTTTCACAAACCTGAATCCTAACCTCCAAGCATACATTAGAATATAATGGGATGCCCAAAGATCAACTATGATTATTGAGCATCTTCCTAAGCTCCTTGTGAAACCAAAAACCCAATTTCCTTCATGATTTCGAAGGACTCCACCTGTCGCAATCATATTATTAACATTATTAACTGCTCCATCCGAGTTGGCTTTAATCCAATCAAAAAGTGGTCGAATCCACTGTCGTTGAACATGAACACCGATAGCTTTGATTCTGCAACTTGCTCATTCGACCTTAGAATTTCATCCAATAACCTATTGCAACGGACATTGAAGCTCTCCCTTTCGACATAAATTGGATCAAAAATAATACAACACCGATGCTTCCACAATTGTCAATAGTAAACTGCAAAGCGTATTGACTAGTTCTCATCATTGATTCCAAACATACCTTGTGGTCAAGGATTGTTAGGACTTTTGTAGCTCTATCGATCAACTAAAAATGTGTCGAGAGGAGGTGAAATGACTTTTTTAAAGTTTAGGAAATAAGGAGAAAGAATAAGAAAGATAAGCACAATGATTTATAGTGGTTCAACTTCGTCAATGAAATCTACATTCACTACCTTGGTTCATCACTAAGAATTTTTTACTAATTTGTTTTTTGTCTAGGCTCAAGAGTAATCTTTACATTTTCTCTATCTTTTATACAAGGATAAAAAGATGTAAACCAGAAACCTCTCAAAGTAAACCACTCTACTTT